AACATTTACATCTCATCCATTATATGCCTATCAATTCCTTATATTAAAAGCGTAGACATCTAAATTGATGTTTAACATTTCCATTAACTACATCAAATTAGCGAATCTTTGTAATTTTTATTTTAATCAATAGATTGAAAAAGACCCATTAGGGTTCTCACTATGACGGGGTTAACATTTCTCTTGTATCATCATCTGCGCAACATTCTTATTCCTCTAATGTGTACAATTAATGAGCGTAATTTATTGATAGGTTTTTCATTGATTCTCATTTGAAATTGACGGAATACTTACATGAGTAAAAATAATATATCAATCATCGTGTTTGCCGTAAATACTACCACTCTTCAAACTTTACAGAAGGGAGAATTGTACACACTGCAGTGTATATATTTGATTCAAAATAAAGCGCAAAGTGCTCAGCATCTTTTTTACAAAGTACTCTGATAAAAATTTGTGATTATCGATAATCTTCAGTACTCTTGTGCTTAACAGGCAGTGAAAAAGTGTGGAATAATCCCAAGTGCAGGCGGATTTGTCGCATAATAAACGCATTTTTTGGCACATGTATACAAAACTGTACTAACTTAATGTAATATGCATTTATGAAATTGATATCTTATTAAGTTAAATAGAAATGTGATTATGGGCTTTACACCTTGAGAAACATACTGAGGATTGTTGTATTAAGAGACACAATGTACATACAGTCGTCATAATTACTACTTGTATATAACAAAATATTATTCTGTTCGTCACTGGGTTCAAATTAATATAGATTTATTCAAATCAATATTAATCATTCTTGTTGCAAAGATAATAATTGAAAATATATTTATCATTGAACATTCCATAGATCTTAATTTTAATATGACCGTAGAAGTTACGTCTTCAAATTTTCTATGTTTAAAAGTTTAAACATAGTTATTTTATTTTGGTTCTTAGAGTATTATCATTCTCTTATACATTGACAATCAGTTTCTCGCCTATAGATTGCAATTAATTGCATATTTTATTACTTATAAAACCAGTAATCACTGGATCTTTCATATATCAATACACCTACAGCCAATACAAATATTATTCATAGACTTTTATCTAAAAGCCTTCTTATTTTTAGTTATTCTGTGGATTTTAAAAAGCTTCACCTAATATCTATTTATCTCATATTGATTTTGGCGGATTTTATTGATTTTTTTATGAATCATCTAATTTTATCTTTGTCTTCCCTTATTTCTCTATCGCTGTTTTTCTCTTTACCTAACTATCGCCGTTTATTCAAGTATATAGTTAAGAGTCAACGATTAGTTATTAGAACATAAGGCACTTGACTTACATTATACTCTTTATTTGCATAATATATAAGATTTTTCTTACTTTTTTGGTAAATCTTAGGTTTGAATTGAAGCGGCTTTGAAAACTGCAGTGTTATACTTTTTTCTTTTAAATCGTGGAAATGATAATGTTATACGGTGCAATGTCTCATTTCCGAAATTCTCTCGTACCTATTTAAGTTTTCGAATAATGAAGAAAACGCAGAAAACAGCTTTGAAAAGTAAGATACATTAACTATTTATAGAAGAAAATAGCTATGAGTTAGGGTATATATATACACACGCGTGTATGTATATATCGCACGTGTATCTTAGTATATAATTATATAATATTAATATATGTATTTTACATAATTGATTTTTTATTACAAAATTGTCTATATATCAGATATTTGATCAATCATTTACTTACTTTTAAGCACTAAAATGGTTAATTTTCGTTTTTCACGGGTTTTATTTTTATGAATTTTAATTCACTCCTACTTGAGGTATCCTCAAGACGCGTGTCTTTCAGATGATCATACTATTTTACGATCAATTTTCATTTCTTTTATTTAATTTTCTTTTTAATTTATTCACATTCTTACAGTTTGCTCACTATTATTTTGTAGTACATTTCTCAGGAAATTGTATTAGTTGTACATACACAGATGACTGTTTGGCTAATTAGTATGCTGATTTTCATTATGCTTCTATTGTATTAAAAAAGAATTTTTAATTTCATTGTAAAATATTTTCCTTGAACGTAATTTTTTGAAAATTCAAATCTCAACATTTTTGTGCTCTTACTTAATATTTTAAACCTAGTTTGTTTGTTTTAAATTTTATCCACTGATCTTACTAAATGTTATTAAGCGCTGTCATATATTTTTTTGTTTTGGTGACAAATTACTTTTATGGTTTATGCCGTTTGCAGACATAAACACGGGATTGCTCTAAGGAACACTGCATTTTTTAATTGAAATGCAGAATCATAGTACATTAATATGAATGCAATATTATTTATCATGGTCATTTCAAACTAATACTGATAAAAAAGTAGTTTCTTTTTTTTATTTATTTATGTTGATTGAGAAAACTATTCATGAAACTTCATTAATGAAATGAATATGTTGTAACTTTTGCAAGTATTTTTATCGATTCTCAAATTATTAATTTATCTTGGTATTTAGAAAAAGCTTTAATTATAATCTAAATGTGTACTCATAATTAATTTTACTTCTATAATAAAACATTTTTTTGATAAATGTAAAGCGAAACTGTTATTACCGGGTATAGAAAATCATTTACAGGTGCAATAGAATTCATAAAATTTCTTAATTACTCAGTAAATTTAAAACGCGAACTCACGTGTAATTGGATATTATAATAAATTAATCGAGATAGTATAACATTAAAAGTTTACGAAAATTCACATTTTTTATTATTTTATATACTTAAATTTAATAAAAATTAGTCACTTACATTATTTAAAGTATTAAAGTCCAACTATTAGAGTATAAGAATCAAATTCCATGACTATAAATAACGAATTCTTAAATTTAAGAAGTAATGATATATCTATATATCATTACGTGATGTGTAAGAACGTCTCAGATTTAATTTTAATTGACTCATTGTTTTATTATGCCAGTTTTTATCCTATTCACTTTTTTTAACATATAGCTTCAAAGATAAAATGACGTATCGATTGTGACGAAAAATTCTATCTTTTTATTCATAGCAATAACTCACTCTAATAGATTCGGTAATAAATGGCAACATTGCTAGTGCTGTAAAACAATAAATATTGTTTTTGTCACAGGTTTGCAAGTTTTAGCGTTAATAAAATCTCATACATATGTACTGATAAAATTGATGCAGTGCATCATTTTCTAAAGTATGAGAATATCACATAATTATTTGCTTGATAAGTTTTTTAAACCATTGAATTTTGAAAAATATTGCTCGTTGCAATACCGTTAGACGTTTTAATGAATCAAGTTTACTGTGGCTTAAATATTTTTTCATGTCTTTCATGTGTTTTAAGCAACTGCTCTAGTATTTTATGGTATCATAATTGTTTCAGTCCGTGATGCATTCTACGATATTATATATCAATTTCAATTCATTTCCGTGTTATGTGAAAATCTGGTCCATGAAAGTGGATTCGAATTCACTACATATCATTTAGTTTAAGAGCATCACATGTCCATCGACTTGGTTATATCATATTTTCGTGCATAAAATTTTACATGGAGGGACTCATTTGTACAATTCACGCATAATATTTTCGTTACATAGTTCATTGCTTCGTTACAAAATTCTTACACACAGTCTCCAGTAGATAAGTCGACGCGATCAAGTTCAACTTTTGATTTTTTTCATTAGTCTCTTATTAACATTTCAAGTATTATTTTATATTAAATAATCAAACAATATTTCTGTCACTATATAACTAATATGAAAATACCATAGTTCTTAAGAAAACCAAAATTTTCTTACTTGTTCATTGTCTTTTTTTGTAGATAAAAAAATTTATATACATATATACACATACAGACAGAAGTTTCATGTTTTCAACATCAATCCATCTGAATTTGCAAAGCTAAAACTCCAATTGTAAATCAGCTACAATATTGTCAATAAATGATATGTTTACTGAACTTTATATAATGTCTCACTCGACTCTTTAAAATGTTATACTAAGTTACACAATTTTACAGTAGAACTCTGCTATAAGAAAGTTGAATTTATTTAAAATCAATATAATACTTTCCGTAAGTATTTCTAAGTAAGTACTGGAGACTGGTGATTATTTATTCACGAATACTGACGAATCACTTTACGGACAGCATTAAAATAATTTATTTAAAATGTATATTAGCAAGAGTTTTCCCGATTGAAGGCAACTCACAACCGCTTCAAGAATCGGTTTAAATCAAGAACGTTAACTTGTATTAACGTTTTAAAAATGACTATGAATAATATTTTTGATATGGTTTCGGAACTTGAAGCTAATTGTCAATTATATTTATTTGCACTTTTTCTTCATAAAGTGTATATTAATGGCACATTGATAATTATTTAATTAATGCTCGACCATTCCAATTTTTTTTGATTAACCCATTTTTTATCATAGAAATTGTTATTATACTAGTTTTCTACTTTTTGGCCGGAGATTGCGTATTCGTGATAAAATTACAATTTTATATCAATCTTTCTATAAATTTTTTAGACATTACAATTTTTGCATAAAGTTATTTTTCAATAAAAAAAAAAGGAATAAAGAAAGAAAATCCACAAATTAACCAAAAATGTCAGAAAATCATCTTGAATTTTTATATCATAACTCAGTGTTTTGTATCTTGAACGTTATTTTCAAAATTCTTATATTTTGAGATAGTAACAACCACTCGAAAACCATAATTTTTATTAACTCACTGCTATCACTCGCATTTTATCGTAACTTTGGAAATTGAAAAATTTTCCTAATATCCAGGTACCTATGGTGTATTTTAATATGCAACGATAATCTTCCTTGTGATGTATGGCATTTATGCATTATGCGCGTGATTAAAAGAAATGACATTAATTTTGTAATATTGCATGCCTATGCCAAAAATGAATTAATATTAAAAAGTCATTCTACTCATGTACCACCATAGTAAATAATTAAAGAGTAAGTTTAATTTAAAAAATATATTTATGATCGAAAGCAACAAGTTCTTTCAATAATATCAACAATGTAGATAATCCAGAAAACACATCCATTATTACAATTGCAAAATACGACATGCGACAACTCTCGTCAGAATAACAGTGTTTTACAAGCGTACCTATATTTTAAAGCACCATGAAATCAACTCGCTTTACTTCGCTACAAGTTCTTCTTTTGCTCAATGATTGATTTAGCAATCTTATGATTATTTTTAATTTATTTATTCTACGCTTACAACTTATGGTTTCTTTCAAAACAACAAATTTTTCATTATCTAATCACATAACTGAAAATATAATAAATGTCTGAAATGACATAATATCCGGAGGAGAAATTTCATGAATTATGTTAATAACCGGCAAAAAATGTGCTCATTTCATTAATAATAATAATTTATAATGATTGAAAAAAAAATTATATCCATTTTATACAATAAAAATCAATTTGTGCCTACAATTCTCTGAATTTACTTTCGACAATGAAATGACGTACCGGCGTACAGCCAATTTTACAGTTTCTAATAGTGAGATAAAATTATCTAACGAGTAATAAATATTATATTCATGACCCAACATCAAGAAAGTTGTGTGTAAACTATGCAGATGCGGTACTCTGCGAGTATATTATTCAAATTTGATTTTATGAGGTTGTTCAGGAGGTGGTTTTGTCATTCAATGTTCTATCCTTATAAGAGTAACCATAGATAACATTTAAAATACGTGCGATATTTGATAGGCCACTTTACTCGATGAATACGAAATGTATATGAGTATGATTTTCGATAAATTATAGATTTTTCGTTTAAATATTCGTATGGATACTTGTAATGTATATATTGATTTATTCTCATTCATATTAGTCACTTTCAACTGAACATTAGCAATATAACTATTTTTGTCTATAATTAAATTAATCATATTATCACGGCAACAAATATTGCGTTAAAATTATGAGAATGCGAAGATCATCGTGTGTAATAAATAATTATACTTGATACTCAGAATCCGCGAAAGTAAAAAACAATGTCAAGAAATCTTGAAAAAAAATTCAAAATTCTCTGGATGATTAGTGATTTTTTTGATTCTTCGTTATATATAAAATAATTACAAGAATATACAGTTATTGTAAAAATCATACACCTAAGACACTGAAGTATTGATTATTTATCTCACAACGTCTTTTTTTTTAGTTAGGCTTCTTTCTTATTCGACTTCTATATCGTGGTTTTGTGTAAAAATACATAAAACGTATGTCACACCCTAGTAGAAGTGATGTTATCATATCTTATCACAATCACATATCCATGCGCATGTTACAAATAAGTAGCCTTTGTTAGGGTATTTTCAGTGTAGCCTCGCTACGAATCTCATCCTATGGAGGTCGCAGTCTCAGTGGGTTGTGCCACATGTGGTTGGTGTGCAAGTCGTAATTGATAGGAAATAGTTGTCGTTGTTGCTGTTGTTGATTTAAATGGCATTCTTGAGTATTCATCAAGTGACTTTGATGCTGCTGTAAATTTTGTATACTGTTCATTTGTTGCTGCTTATTTTGATGAGCGTTCGACTGGTCGTGTCGCTGTTGAACGCCGCTCTGTATCAGACGTTGCTGTTGTTGTTGCTGTAACTGTATTTGTTTCTTAGATTCCTGTGCCCCCGTTGAATCTGGCGAGGGTATTGATCGGTGAGACTTCATATGTGCACTTCGGCTTTTCACTTTGTTGAATACTCTGAAAATGATTGAAAAGTCGAATTCAACATATCAGTTTATTTCGAGGCTAAAGAATACTGAGTTGTTTTGCACGTGGTTGTATTTCTGTATCTATAACTCATTTAATTTATTAACTTTAAATAAACGATGTAACTTGATTATTCATATTTATTCATTATTTTATCTCTGTTGTGGTCACGGCTAATATTTTTTCTAAAATTCTACTTGTTTTTTTTTCTATCTTCTTCTTTTACGATTCCGTTAGACTAAATGAATATATTTTTGGGCATTTCTTTTAATTAAGTTGTTTTACAAACGACCTATAGAATTTCTCTTCAAGTTACAGTAATAATCGTTTTAGGGGCTTTTTGCTCAAGTTGCTTGCTGGCTTTACTCATCTCTACCTAGTTGGTCTTTTTCTCCGTGTAATCTCATACAACAAATTTATAACCGTTGAGAAGTCTACAAAGAAAAGCTATTAAGTGCCAAGCATTAGCATATGGTGAGATAAAAGTTACAATCAAACATTATTATAGTAAAATGTAAAAACCATAAAAACACGATTTAGTTACTGGAGTGTAAAGATGTATGTATGTACATACGTGCATTTGTAAACTATGTAAATGTATGAAGTGATGATTTTGATTAGTACTTTATGTGCGGTATTCAGCGGAATGGACAATATCGCGTGGACTTGGCCACACTTGCACGTATCGACTATGTACTGAAATGTTGTACAACAAACAAAGAAACTTTGAGGTAAGCGATGTGTATCTTGGTGTCGTTTGCGTTCATCGTTCGTACGTACGATCGCTACGAGTGCGAGTGTACACAAAAGTCATAGAAAGAGACAACAAGTAGTGGGCACTCGGTAAAGTCAATAAAGAGAAAGACGATGCGTGTGGGTGTTGAGGAGCTAAGATTAGTGATTTTAGAGACTTACTTCCCGCAAATCTTGCAAGGGTAGTGGAGTAAGGTAGGCGCGGGTAGTGGTGCTTGTCGCTCGATACTTGTGTGAGTTTGTGAGTTGGTGTAGTTGACGCTAGCGTAGCTGCCGCGGCCAATTTGAGCGCTCTCGGCCCTCGTTACCGTTACTGTACTCCCGCTAAAGCTCTGGACAATGTAAAGAAAAAGCAAACACAAAGCCAAAATAAACAACAACACAGGAAACAAACCTTAAACCTCTGGGCTCATCAGCTCTTTATTTGGCCCGCCGCCTCGAAGCCACCCCTTTCCCCATCCCTCAGCCGATATTTCATCTCGCTCGACAAATCCACAAGTATACGTTTACACTTGGACGACGAAACAAGCACGTCAATGGAAAAAAATCAGTTGTCAAGAGAACAGAGAATTCAACGCAACATCAAGTATTAAGCATATACAAGACGATCAGTAGTATTACAGTTAATGTATACATGCGACATTCAAAAAAAATCTTATCAACAATTTGAAAAGCTCAATAGCGGCTACATCGAGAACCCAATCGTTCGTAATTAAACTCGCTCGGCTAGATCGCAGCACCTCGCTTCCGAGGCAAAATCACGTATACCGCTGTTACGCCAAGGTGTCGTCGGCGTTAAGGCCCGTACTTACATCTTGAAAGTCGTAAGCGTAGAGCCGTAGCTCGCCCTCGCTAGTGGTCAAAGTCGCCGAATTTTCTCTCTCGTTGGTCGACTGCATCTAATGGCACGCCAGACAGAGACACGCGTCAGAATTGAGAATCGCGATGGGATTTCAGTCGTGCCTTACCAGAGTTCGCTGAAGAATGGACTTTCCTTCGCTAAAGTCCAGCTCGGCTACCGAAGCCATGGTCTCCCGCAATTCTTTCATGTCCTCGCTCTCGTTGCTCTGCTCGATTTTTATGCCGATCTTGCTGTAGTGCCTCAGTCGCATTCTCTTGTACTCCTCGGGACAGAGCCACTTCCACAAGTAATAAAATTGCACGCACTGCTTGCTGCTCTTGCTGCCCACCTCGCGCGCTATCACGGAAAAGTCTTTGCTGTTTTTCAGCAGGCTCTGATAGAAGCAGTTCGTTTCGCTCTCGGTCCAACGATCGGACTCGTGGCATTCGTAACTGCGCAGCGGGTGGTCCGCCGCTAACGACGACGTCGGCCGCATCAGCCTCAGCATGGCCTCCTATCATTTGTTCATTTATTTATTTAGGCGTTTTCTATCCAGATAAAATTAGCGAATTGGAATGCGTTGCGGGCCAGAACGTTAATCAGACGCGATCGCGAGTTCAACATTCAAACTGCCCTCGCATTGTCATTGCCTCCTACTACTACTACTACTACTATTCCAGTAAGCACTTACTCGAATGTTACCCCCGCACATGTGCAAGAGATGAAGTGCGTACTCCTTGTTTCTACCGCCGCCTGGCGCCGCGGCGCAACAAGCGAACTGCAGGTAGACTTCCACTGAAAATGCAAGCACGCGTGGGCATTAGCCGGACGTCCGAGACGACGGAAGAGCGAGCGCGGCGTAGACGGCCAACCTTCGGTCTCGGTGAGAGCCGCGTCGATGCCGGGGTCCCAGAGCAGATGGTCCTTCTCCGGCTCGGCGGCGATGCCGATGTGGTCGAGCTCGCGCAGCGGAGGTATGGAGGCCTGGTAGTTGGTGCCGATGTTGATCCGCGGCGGCGGGCCGTCGGACGAGGCCGAGGCCAGCTCGTTGGCCGGCGAGTCGTCCGAGCCGCTGAACTCGGCGGAGTCGCGGTGGGCGCGGTGCAGCCGAGCGTAGAGGCCCGCGCCGGGCCGCGAGGGGTCGAGCATCGGGGCCGGCGTGTAGCTGCTGTCCCAGTGGCGGTCGCAGGCGCGGCGCAGCCGCGACCTGGCGTGGACGGGGCCGCCGTCGCGGCGCGACGAGTCGAGCCGCGGGCGCTTGCTCCGGTAGCGCCAGCTCGCGTCGGCGCCCAGGCCCAGCGACGAGAGCTGCCCGGCCGGGCTGACGAACACGTCCTCGTCGTCCACGGAGTCCTCCTGCTTGATCTGGTCGAGCGGCACCGGCAGTCGCGCGCCCGCGCCCGGCGCCGGCTTCTGCGTGGACGGCGGGCACGCGCCGGCGTGCACGAGGAACTTGGCCGGGTTGACGAGTTGCGCGGGCTCGGCGTGGCGCGGCCCGAAGCCGCCGAGGCCGGGCGCCGCCGCGGCCTGCACGTAGATGCTGGCCTTGCCGGCGAGGCCGCCCGCGTGCGCGGGGTGCGCGGCGTGCGCGGCGTGCGCGGCGTGCGCGGCGTGCGCGGCGCCGGAGCCCTGCAGCAGCTTGAGCTCGCCGTTGTCGAGCACGATGGTCGAGGCCAGGCCGCCCAGGTCGACGAGGCTCTGGTTGGCCAGCTGCAGCAGCTTGTAGGACTGGAACTCGAACTTGCGCCGCGCGCCGCCGAAGTCCTTGGGGCTGGACGAGAGCAGCGGGTCCTCGGAGTTGGGCATCATCTGGCTCTGGATGGGGCACGAGGGCGAGGGCACCGACGAGGGGGGCAGCGAGGACAGCGGCGAGGGCGCCGGCGAGGGCAGCTGCGGCGGCGGCGCCGAGTGCGAGTGCGCGTGCGACGCGTAGTCGGGCTCGCAGCCGGCCCTGGCGGCGGCGGCGGTCGCCACCGCCGCCGCCGCCGCCGCCGCCTCCTCCTCGTCCTCCTCCTCGTCGTCGGGCAGCACCTCGCTGAGAGCCTCCTCGATGGCCGCCGCCGAGGACATGCTCGTGCTGTAGAAGGCCGCGGACAGCGGCGAGGAGACCGAGTGCACCGCGTCGCTGTCCTCCTGGGGGCTGAGCAGCGGCAGCGAGCCGCTCGAGAGGAGGCCCTCCTGCGAGGCCGGCGGCGTCGGGTAGGTGAAGCTCGGGCTGTCGTGGGGCGAGCCCAGCGGCGACTGGCCGTCGGCCGCGCCGTAGCCGGCCCCGTACGCGCCGAACTCGGCCAGCGAGTCGGGCAGCGGCGAGTTGACCAGCGCCTGCAGGTCGGGGTTCACCACGTGCTGCCCGCCGCCGGGCCCGGCCCCGGCCCCGTAGCGCTCCTCCAGGCCCATCGCCTCCTGCAGGCCCGCGTCGCCGGGGCCGCCGCCGCCCTGGTCCTGCAGCAGTCCCGAGGCGCTCTGGAACTGCGCGCCAGCAGAGCGTGCAGATGACGGCCAGGAGGGCGCGAGGAAGAAAATAATACCTGCTGGAAGACCTCGTCCTGCAGGCTCGGGCTGAAGTAGCCGCCGTCCTCCGGGTAGGCGCTCATCGCGAAGCTCTCGGCCAGCGGCGCCTGCGGCTGCGCGCCCGTCTGCGTCTGGTACGTCAGCTGGATCCGTTGGCCCGGCTCGGAGCCCGCGCGCTTCACGGAAATCTTGGTGGTGCCCTGCGGGCAAGTCAGTCGGCCGTGCAACGGTATCGCAGCGGGCGCGCAACGGCCAGCGCCGAGCTCGGAACGCGTGCCAACCTTCAGGATCATGTCGGCGAGGGCCTGTGCCTGGGCCTGGGTCTGCGCCTCCTGCAGCTGCTTCTGGGCCGAGTTGCCGACGCCGCTCAGGGTGGCGATCGTCACGTTGGGCTGCCGGAAGTGCTCGCCGTCCGACAGTCGACGCACCTTCTCGCAGGCCGCTTGCGGCGGCGGCGCCGGCACCACGAAACTCATCTTCCCGATCACTTGTTGGTGCACCTGCTGTTGCTGCTGCTGCTGCTGCTGCTGCTGTTGCTGCTGTTGCTGCTGTTGCTGCGTTTGCTGCTGCGCGTCCGCCGTAGTCGTCGTGACGATGTTCGTGGTCGTGCCTTGATTCGTCAGCGTCGCGGTTATTATGCGTTGCTGCTGCTGCTGCTGCACCGCATTCGGGTCCGTTGCTGCAACATTGTCGCCCGAATTATCGCGATACTTGTTGCCGTAGGTGGCACGCTTGTACGCCAGACTGTACCAGCTAATCACTTTGACCCGAAGTATATCAGACGTTACCGAGGGATTAACGATCAATTTGTATTCCAAGAACGTTTAAATTAACCTCGCGCCGGTTGATCGAGGGATGTGCTGTGGTCAAAGTCCCAAAGTCAATTCGAAGGGGCGACTAGGTCGAGAATTCTATGAGCCGGCGCGCAATATCCTGAATGCAGTGCGTGCACGCGTCGTTTATCTGCTGCTGAGCGTGCGGCTCTCACGCTGATTCGCTTTACACGAGCGAAATGCTCGACTCTTTTAGCGTGATAACCATTAACCCCGCATTTTCCTTGACCTTGTGAAACTTCGCACCGCAGGAACGAGACAAAGGAAGGCGAAGCGACGGTGGCCTATTCTCTCGAAGCCAACTTGTTCCTCGAGCAATGTCTTATCTTTCAATTATGACATTGCAACGTAGATTATTCGGAGCTCGTTAATGTTTTTAACATCTACATCTACGGCATCTCAAACGTCATGGAAACAGAATGAGAAAACAGAAGGAGCCGAACAAGTAAACTCGATTACGTATCGAGAAAAAGTAATTTTGGATCTCCACCGACGTTTTCGTCCTCAATTACTAGCATCGATGACCGTAGCAGTGGCTTTGTAATGTAACGTCAAGAATGGCGTAATCAGCTTTGCGGAAAGTTCATCAAACTCACATTACATAGCGGATAGTTTTCAAACAATTGTAACGAACATCAGGCGCCATCAGAGACGCCATCAAAACTTTTAGGAAATAGTAAAAGTCAATTATTATAGTATCATGAAACTTTGGCAATGTTTGTGAACCACGAAAAAGTACACCGAATCACAACGAAACTTTATCGGCTAATAAATTTATCGCGGAAGAAAAGAAATCGGTGCTTCTATCAAACATTAAAAAACAAGATGATTTCATTTTTCCTTTCTCTTCGAAAAGGCAAGCCAAAACTTTCGACTCATGATTGGAGTGAATGTAAAATCAGCGATGGAGTTTTGGCTGAAGAAAGCCGTGAGCATGGAATGTATTGCAATAGTCGTGAACGTATAAATGATGGACGATATTATTCTGGCAGAAAGCGCAGTTAAATTTGGTAATGTCGTCTTAATTAATCGTAGCAGCCGAGACAATGAAATTTGTCGCATGCTCGACGAATCGTTCACTCGCTGTAGTCGTCTTTTCATTGATTTTGTTACTTTATTGACTCGACACAGCAGCCCCGTAAACATAATTTTTCACAAAGCTCTTACGCGTGCGTTGATTTGATTTGTTGACTGTAGCGCTTGGAATCGCGTAGTTCGCGAAACCAATACGGAATTCGCCCGAGGAATACGAATGTGACGATCGTCGCAGGTTTTGAGCTATAGACAAGGAGAGCAAGGGAGCGAATAGGCGAGCCTCGCTGGTCTTTCTGCCCGGCCCCCTTTCCCAGCCGCGCTCTCCAGGCAATACTCGTAAATATTGCCGCCTCGTAAATTTCCCTTCGATGCTTACCTAGCAATATGAGTACGCGAAAGCGCGCTTGCAAGCCCGGCCGGCTATCGCGCCGAGCGAATCCGACTCGATATTTATTTCGCCGAAGGAAACCCGATTGAGCGAGCTTTTTCGTTCGTCAATTTCCCGCGAGAGTGAGACCTTTCCTCGCTGATTCGGCCGAGCGTGCGCGCAATTAAAAGTCATTTGGCGACGTGGCAAAGGAAAAATGGCGAAATACATTTGGAGCCCGGTTGACCGTTCGTTTTTACCAATAGTAATAATACCAAACGCCTGGTTTCCTACTCGGCCACCCCTCTCTCTCTCTCTCTCTCTCTCTCTCTCTCTTTCTCTGTCTTCGAAAGACATTGGTATAATAACTAAAGCTCCGAGTAAATCCCATCCACTCGAGTACGCGTGTATGCATAGCCACCCTCGATATCAAAATAGTCATCGCTCATCCGAAGCATAAGCAATTGACGCTAACGACAGCTTTACTCTCGCATTACCCTGAACAGAGATTGAGAGAGAGAAAAAGAGAGAGAGAGAGAGAGAGAGAGAAGCATCATCCTCACCCCTTAGTTTCCTAGAGAGATTTTCAACGCCGCTGCGAACGTGTGAGAAAGTCCGCATGATCGCTCGCCTATGGGGAGCTGTTGCTCGAAAAAAATATAGACCGACGGGGGCGTAACGGCACGCGCGCGCCTCATTGTCGGATTCCCAGGGAATTCTGGCAGTCGCGTGCATTTGCTCTCTCTTTCTCTCTCTACTTCCTGCGGCGCACAAACAAATGCCAATTTATACTCGGGATGAGAGCGTCACGATAATGCACGCGCAGTCGGTTTTGCAATTGTTCCCCCGCGCGAGGGTGATTATATTCGAGCGCGGGTTGGGGGAGGGGATGATTATGGGATGCGTTTTAGAAAAACTAAGTGGCTTTTGAGAATTTACGACTCGATAAAAGCGAGAAAACGCAGACTGGCGAAAGTTAAGTCGATGCCACGAGGGGGGTAAACACTAAGCACCTCTGCACGTACGTATCGAGAGACAACATTCGCGCGCCTGGGATCAAATAAAGAAGCGTGTTTACGAGACTGACTTTTCGGGCTTGTCGCTGGCTAAAACTACTAATCAAATCAGGCGAGCGTTACGACGCGGCCAGGCCGGAGTCCCCTTTTTAATTAACTTCTGTGCCAGTCGGACTCGTCGGACTCTCCGGCTCGCTCTCTCTCTCTCTATTGGCTAACCCATTTAGAAAAGCTTTCACACGGCCTCTCTTTCTCTCGCTCTACGAATCCTCTTTAATTTTCGATTTTTCTCGCTCTCTTTCCGCGCCGTTGGCCGCACTGCGTCCTTTTTTTTTCTTTTTTTTCTTTTTGCAAACTTGAATTTTCCAATAACGTGCCTTTGATGCGGCCATTCACGAAAGTTATAAAAGCCGCGTGCTCTCGTGTTAACCGTGGTTCGCGCTCGCGAGCAAGACGGGCTGATTCGAGGGACGGGATTTTTACAAATTGGCAATCACCCACTGTAACCAGAGCAAATTGCTTCCTCAAAGCCCGAAGCTAATACGTGCGGGCCTGGCTGCTCGTTGGCCAAACGAACCTGCGGTCACCCATATATACCCACGCGCGCGCGCGCGCGCCCAAGCTTTGCCTCCTTCTCTCTCTCTCTCGCCTCTCCTCTCCTCTCCCGGAAGCATATACGCGCTTCGCTAATTACTTGGGAAGCGTTCTTCTCGCCTCCCGTATATTTTTGGCATACCCTCGGAGGAGAATCGGGACAATCGAGCTGAACTGATTTATTGGCCGTTCATCCCGTCATCGGAAAGCTCTCGGCTGCGGTATATCGCAACAATCATCATCAAAAGTCCGCGCGATGGGACATCTGCTAGTAATAGATAACGCAATACCTCGCAAACACACAAATTAATTTAGCGATGAGCGGAGCCGTATTTGATGGAATAAAGCGCGGAAATCGACGAGCGAGTTTCGGAATCAATAAGAGAAAAGAAGCGAGATAGACGGGAAGAAAAATAGACGTGAAAGATTGCACGGTTGGTTGGAGCGAAATTTGAACTACAAACTTTCCGCCGAGTCGGTAGCTTGTCTGTTTGTCGACTGAAGGAGGGAGGGAGAGAGGGAGAGAGTGAGAGAGCAACGGTAGCAAGAGATGAAGTCGTGCATAAATCGCTAAGTACGGCGAAGCTGCGCGCGCACTTTCCACAAAACCGCAGCTCGCTCTGTCGTGAATCTGCCCCTCTTTGCGCTTCAGTGGAGGTTTCGGATTTCGGGGGCTTCGAGTCCCTCCCCTCCCCCTCCTGGTGCTCGCGCGAGTTCTGATTTATCGGCGCGACGTGGACAATGCAAGAAATATTCCGGCGAGCGCGTTCGATGAATTACTGGCTGGAAACCGGCCCTGGCGCTACTCTACTCCGCCGCCGCCGCTGCTTGCTTCCTTTCTTTCGCTCGGTTTTTCCTCTTTTGTCTATTTTTCTATACACACACACACACACACACACACACACACACACACACACACACACACACACACACACACACATACATATATATATATATATATTGCTCGCCACGCTCTTTGCCGTACACTCCTCACTCCCGTTTCCTCGTTTCCAGCAAATCCGCTTTCATGCGCTCCGACTCCGTCGAAATATAGCGCGTAGGCGGGCGCTTCGCTCGCCCGCTGCGCGGAATCCGCCAAGAATTCGCGCGCTTTATAGTCCAAGATTTTTACTTTGAAAAGTTGCATGCGTCGGACTTATTTTGCCTGCGGATTATGCGCGCCGTGTGTACACCGATGAGCGCTCAATCAATTGGAAAATTGGAAAAGCACTTGACTCTCTCTGGCTCGCTATTGTTGAAATCCGAAAATATTCGAAATCAATTATTGAGTGCCGACAGAGAAACAATTATCTCGTACCTGTGGTCCTCTTCTGAATAATTTTCTCCTCGATGAGAGCGCGCACGCTGACCGAGGCTGTCTGCAAGGGTGGCCCGCTCACTTCCTTCTTCTCGCTCTTCTTGCTGTCGAGATCCTAGAGACAAACGGAAGACAAAGAGAATAAACATAGAGCGATCAATGCACGGCAAAGCGCTGTGATTTTAATTAGCCGTCGTAATGATAGGGTCACGTCGCGTCCGTGGAGCAAGGCCGCGAATGGAAAGGCGTTTCGGCGTGATGGCCCGATGCGAGATTAATAGGTCGGATGGCGGAGGAGCGTGAAGCGTCGACGCTGGCGGCGGCGGCGGCGGCGGCGGCGGCGGCGGCGGCGGCGGCGGCGGCGGCGCCAGCAGCACGCGGGACGCTTGTTAGCTGATCACTAAGCGGAGCTAATTGAAGCGGCATTCGATTATCCGCTAATGGAATCTGTGAGGTGGTTCTACGAAGCAGGCAGGCGGCGGAGAGCCCAAAAGGGGTCTCGATCCGCGAACTGGTCTTTGTCGTCCATCACCGTTGCCGTCGCCGTCGCCGTCGCCGTCGCCGTCGTTGCGGCTTGCTCTTTTCGGGGGAACGCGAGGATTCGCGGGGCCGCGCAGGATCTCAATTTCCCCCGCGGTTTGCCGCTCGCTCTCGCAGCCTACCTATAGATCATGCACCAAATTGAACTTTGTCTTTGAAGGGGCCGAGCAGCGCAGCGCGCATGTACACGCGAGAGAGAGAGAGAGAGAGAGAGAGAGAGAGAGAGAGAGAGAGAGAGAGAGAGAGAGTGCACGCGTGGCGCGCGTCGTCCGTGTCATGAATATTGATGAGGGAGAGAGACGAGAGCTGGCTGCGGCGCGTACACGTATACTCGCACGTGCCAATCGATCCCAAGCGTCCTTCTCGCTAGCTGCTACTGGTGCTGCTTCCGCGGCACGGAGATTTATCGGCGAGTCGCGATGCATATACAGCTTGCTTGGCGCAGTCCCGCGACAATGAATAGCAGCCAGCCGGAGGGAGAGCACGATGAAGGATCGCCGATATCGCCTTCCAATTATCGAGAATCGCCGCGCGCTATCGATCATCGGCAGGCAGCAGCGAGTCCTTTGTACCTCGCCCACCGGGGCAGCTCGGCCCCGAGTGCAACTGCGCAAAAACGGCGCTGTTTACGCTCCGCGCATCCGGATACTGCGGCTAATGGGCGTAGTCGGATTCGCCACCCACCGGCCGAGCGCGCCACGTCGACCGAGAGCAACAAGATCAAGTCCGCCGGAGCCCCGCTCGCGCCGATGGAGACGGCGACCTCAAAAACTGCGCGCGGCATTCGCGGCAAAACGACTGGCGGCCGGCGCTGCCTCCGCAGCGTGCATTAATCCAGATTTCCCGCTGGAGCGCCCCATTGAAACTTTTCGATAAATCCCGGCGCAAGCGCAGCTCCCATCCGGACCGCTCTCGCTCTCGCTCTCGCTCTTTCGCGCTCGCGAGCTCTCTGCCGCCCATCGCCGAGCAACGTAAATGCTTGCGAGAGCGTCCCGACCGACGAGATTCAATCTGCATAATGGAGGCAAGCCTCGACACACTATTTGCGCGTGATTTTCCTTCGATTTCCCTCTCTCCGATTCTCGCCGCATTGTCCCGTTTTCTTTTCCACCTTGATCTCCGAGCGAGCCCGAATCATTTGAATCGGTCGTCGAGACGCTTTGGTTTCTCTCGTCGAGCGACGAGCTGCGCGCGAAAAGCAAAGTGCAAGCCGAGAGAGATAATGAATTGGAAGTGGCGGCGACCTAATTGTCGGTGGCGCTGGTTGCGGCCTTGCGGGAGGGGGAGGGGACAAGGGGGGCTTTTCTTTTTGCTCGCTCGCGCCAGAATCGGCCCTCATTGCTGTAATTGCCACGGCTAGCGAGGATTTGATGGCTAATCAAGGCGAGGCGAGGCTCGTTAGGTCGTAATGGTCGCTGCACCGACCTTCTTGAAATAGCCGCCGTGCAGTCTCATGTGGCCATTGAGCGCTGGTATGTTCTTGAACTTGCGATGACAGAGGTTGCACTCGACGGGCTTGGGCTCCACCGGGGACTTGCTGCCGAGAGGCACCAGCGCACCGGGCGACGGACTGCCGCCGACTTTTCCCCCGCTGCCACCTCCCGGCGAGTTCACCTGCTGCTGATGCTGATGCTGATGCTGATGTTGCTGTTGCTGCTGCTGGTGCTGCTGTTGCTGCTGGACCTGTTGAGTCGCCTGCTGCTGTTGCTGCTGCTGGGCTTGCTGCTGCTGCTGCTGCTGCTGCAACAAAAAACCAAGGGCTCCTCGTTATTTCGCTGCTGCACGTGAACGATAATAAAGCAGCCTCGCTCGTGGAGGGTAAAGGGCGAAAGACAAAAGCGAGGGACTGGTTTCGCGGTGGCGGCCTTGTCTAAATCTGCTAAATGAAGCAGAAGCAAAAGTCGGCTGTAAAAAGGAGAAGTCGGAGTCGGCGAAACTGGCGTGGATACACAGCACTCTTTGCGCACTAATAAAAGGAGAGAGAGGGAGGGAAAGAGCCAAGTCCCTCTTTGACATGGCACGCTCTGTCGTTAATAAGGAAACGAGATGGGAGGCGGGCTGGGCAGGAAGGATGAAGCGCAAAAGGAGCGATGGGGGGGAGTAGCTCGCAACTCGCCTGCCTGCTCGCCTCCTTTCTTGCGCTCCTTCCCATCTCTGCCGGCAGTCGTCAAATGAATTTAATGAATTCTCCGCCCGTTATATTGTGCCGCGCGCGCGCGCGCCGGCTCAGCCGAGAGCTACATCCAACAATTGGGGAACTGCGCGCGGGCGCAATATCTCGCCACACTGCGCGTCCTCCGCGCGTCCACGCGCTTCGTGACGTTTTTCATGGAAAATATCGGGTTAATTAGCACGGCCAAGCACAAATTGTTCGAAATGAAAAACCTCCCCTATTCGGTCTGACTTATAGTTATGTACTCGTCAGCGCCGGCTGCTCTGGGCGTACCTTGTAATAAGCGCGGCGGCCCGGCGGAGAGGGAGAGGGCAAACGCACTCGGATGGAGCAAATTTCACGAGCTACCGTGCTACCTGCGTAAAAATCAAAGCTCGGAGCAGCGGGAAAAAACAAGACCGTGAGAGGTAAAACAGATTCTCTCTCTCTCTCTCTCTCTCTCTCTCTCTCTCTCTCTCTCTCTCTCTCTCTCTCTCTCTCTCTCTCGTTACGCTGTCGTTCGCGCGGAAGAACTGCGAGAGAGGAGTGTGCCGCAGGAGGGTCGGAGCAAATTGCTCTAGTAGCTGCGGTAGCTCGCGGGGATAAAAATGCGCTCAGCGGCGAGACGAGCGAGAGCCAGAAACGCGAAGCGCGCGTCTTGACTTGCGCGAGGCCTCGGCTCGTCCGACCCGTGAGCGAGCGCTACTACTCGGTCGGCGCGCGTAGCCGGCGCGTGTAATCGCGAGTGGGCCGCGCAGGCCTTGGCGCCGGCGAGGCTCGGTATCGAGCGATCGCGTCTTTCTCGCCGGGATTTTCGCGTTTTCACCCCCGAAAGCCATTATCGAGGCGCTGTTAGGGCTCGCGCGCGAGCAGCTAATCCTCGGGCCTGCGAATCGAGCCCGCGCGACGCGCGAGGCTGCCGTGTCGCTGGCGCTGCCGCGGGAGCCGATTTTCGACGCTCGCTTTTAAATTAAACCGGCGCCCGCCGCGCTAAGCCCCAGGACTTAGGCCGCGCTCTGGGATTAAACTCCGGCAGGCTATACGGCCGGAGAGCCTCTGAGCTGATAAATAATTATCGTTCTAACCGTACAGCCTTTCGGCCGGTATCCGCCACCGCCTCGGTCGATCGCCGTTCGTCCGTCGCGACGCATCCGACTCGTCCTCAGCGCATCCTCCGGCCGCAGCGCCGTGGAAGCCAATTAGCGCGAGCGGCCGAAGGCTCGCGTCGGAAGAAAAGTTGCGCGCCGAAAAAAGCACTCGTGCCAACGAGAAAAATCAGAAGAGCATTTTGGTTTTAAATGCGCATTGAAACGCGGGAGAGGCCTGGCAATTACGCGAAACGCGCTTTGCCGCTGCTGGAATTACACGATAAATAAACCAAGCCGAATGGTTTAAAACGAACGAGTTCGCTCTCTCCCACTTTTTGCAGCTGCTAAATTGGTTGAAAGGCGAGTAGGTGCGCACAGGTGTGCGAATCGCTCGAACGAAAATGAGAGAGAGAGAAAGAAAATGACGGACCAGAAAAGAGGAGTGCGTCGGCGGTGAGCGTGTCGCGCGGGGCCTTGCTAAAAGTACGCTGGTTTTCGCGGCTAAAGAAGGCTCGAGGGAGCTCGCCAAACAAGCTTAAACATTCAGGCGCACTTGCAGGATTAAGAGCTCGACAGGGATTACGCCTGAATATTTCAGCAGCGCCGACAACCAGTTATTTTTTTTTTCTTCCTCGTCGTCTTGCCCCTTTGCCTGGGACTTGTCAGCGCCAGCGCGGCGTCCGCACGCCCACGGTTCATCGCTCGCAGCTTCTCGTCCCCGGCCAAATTGAAATTTGATCGGCTCTCGTTCGCGTTCGCTCATCAAAGCCCGCGTGCGCGCCTGCACGCGCGGCTTCATTTATTAACACGACACTCGCTCAACTATGCCTCTGACTAAAGTTTTACTCGAGAGGGTAACACAAGAGGCAGCTCGACTTTCCGCGAAATCTCAGCGAGCTTCAAAGTGCACCAGAAGAGAGAGAGAGAGAGAGAGAGAGAGAGAGAGAGAGAGAGATAGCAGGACGGGACATAGCCGGAGAGCAGAAAAAAGTTTGAGTGTCGAGTGAAAGACAAACCGAGCTGACCGAGCTTAATCAAGTTGCGAGCCCTCGACTATGTAGGCGGCTCTCTCTCTCTCTCTCTCTCTCTCTTCGTGCCGACCGCCGCTGCCGCCAGCCCGTCGGTCGGTTAGCTTATTAAGCGCACTTGTCAAACAAGGATTCGCCCATTCTGCTCGTTCGTCCTCTTCTGAATATCCTTCAAACGAGAGAGAAAGAGAGCATTGTGCAAACTATACCTACGCGTATCCGACCACGAATTCCCGCACGCGTAAAGAGGACCAAATCGAGAACTCGACGATTCGCTGGCGCGCGGACAGAGAGCCGAAAATTGCGCGAATCCTTCGTATCGATTGGCCGGCCGAACGCACCTTTCTAGATAATAGATTAGCGATAAATGGGGGCCGCACGCTCGGCTAAGCTCGGCTCTACTGGTGCAATCGTCATTCTGCGCCATCCCTGCCAGCACGCTCTGCTGCAAGCTCTCTCTCTCTCTCTCTCTCACTCTCTGGCTCTCGTAAAATTATGGACTTTAATTACGATGCTCCGCCGTCGATCCCAACGAACAATTGTTCGCTTTTCCCCCGGTAATTTTCATAAATCAAAGAGCGTAAAATTGAAGAGAATCTGATTTTATGTGCTTGCTAATTATCGTTTCTGCGAGCGTGCTCGCGCGCGCCAATTCAGCCTCCCTTATTTTCTTAATTAATTACGCTTTTAATTGGTATCCCTTATCCCCGCCTAGCGGCACGCACTTGCGCGCGGATATCTCGCGACGGGAGCGGATTGATTTTGCAAACGACGACGAGGCGTCCTTCTGGTTTACTTTCTCTGCGCGCTCGTCGGCAAAGACGGCGGAAGCAAACCTCACGACGGCGCACGTACGCTCGCGACAGGGAGGGGGGGTGAAGAACGACAGATGCACGCACACGACCAACGAAATTGCGGCTGGTGGGAGGACGAGGGAGTGGGGCGTATGGACGTCGGAAGGAGCTAATTGCGAATAATTGCATTGTCTTAGAGGCGGGCGCACCTCCAGTTCGTCGTCGTCGTCTTGCGACGCTCTCCCAACTCGATTTTCCACGGAGAGCAGGCGCGCGCGTTACGCATACGCGCAGCCCCCGGTCGACATTCAAATATCATAATGCGATTAAGCGCGAGCCTGGCCCGGCATAGCTTCGGCTCGCCTCGTTACACGTCCCATTGCTATTTGTCAGCTTTCCAATGCGAGTCGTGCAACTTTCGCAGCACGGCGGAAGGGGTACTCGCGCTTCAAGAATACAGAGAGGGGGAGAGCTCGAGGGGATAGTTTATCGATTTGGAGTCTGCGCGCGTCCCGGCCCGTGTTGGTCTTGCACTCGAAATTGCTGAGTCTATTTGCACGGAGGAAGCGTATTTTCGTCGTTAGTTCAGCGCAGCAGTGGTGGCAGCAGCAGCAGCAGCAGCCGAGAGGAAATTCATCAGCCGTACTAGATCATCGAGCCGCGATAAAAGCCAGCGAGCGCCTGGCCAAGAAAACTCGGACGCAGGGTGAAAAGAAAAAAAATGTAGGAAAAGAGAGTCTCGCAAACGCCGAAGACGACGAGTTATTCGTAATGTCATTGTCCTTGCCACGAGTCGTCCGTCGGTGTAGCGAGGGTGCGTAGCGTATCTGTTTTGTTGGCCGTTAGTCCGCCCCAGGCCTCCTCCTTTGCAGCCTTGTTGACGGAGAAACGAGAGCATCGAGAGCAAGTATCTTTCCGATGAGGCCAAGTCAACAAACGACGTGTGCCATTCCCTCCCCGTTAATTAATAGCGAGGAAGCAAAGAAGAGCTCCTCTGGGATAAAGGCAGGCAGGGCCGAGGGTGCGCGAGCGAGAGAGAGAGAGAGAGAGAGCGATAGTAAGAAGGATAGCGGGCAAGAGCTGCGCGTTTAATGGGCGCATTATTCTCAGCCGGTGCGCGCACTTCCATTTACTCGAGCCCATCTCTCGGCTTCGCTCTCGAGCATCCCCCCGCCCTCGGCCTCTCGCTGCTTTACTCATAGTCTCCTGTAATTAGCCCTAGGCGAGACTTGATATGCACAGCTAGACAACAGATCCGACTCTCGTGCGCGCGCGCGAATTCGTGAGAAAAGAAGGGAAAGGAGAGAGAAAAAACGAGCAGCAATAACAAAGGCGCCTCGCGCACTGACGAGTCGACTTGATCCGTGGACGGCCGCGCCAGGGCAGCGATATTTACGCCGCAACTCTTCTCTCGGCGCCACTTGCGTGCATATAGCAGCGCCGTTGCCGGCGCTGCCGGTGCTGCCGCTGCAAGTTTATCCGATTAATCTTCTTCCAGGGTGGCGGCGCGAGCGAGGGAGCAGGCCTCTTATCTCGCTCGTTTTCGCTCGCTTGGAGCGAGTGAGAGGCGGGTAGTCGACGAAGAGCCGGAAAAATAAGGTAAACTTTGAGAGCTCCCTCGAGGAGAGAAGCGAAAAAGCATGTATAATACGGCCATCAGCCGCCTCTACGCCGCCGC